TTGAATTCAAACTGAGTTTGAAATGTTTCCTGTGGTGCCTTGCTTTAATCATGGGACAGTTATCACTTCTTGGAAATATATTTTTTCCTGTTGAGAAATGGGCATGGACAGTGGGTGGGATTTAAAGACGACTTCAGTGCTGTCATTGATTGTGACTAATGGTGGAGGGTGGGGGTGGGGGTGGGGAGATAACTCCTCTGGTTGGCTCTTTCTTAATATTAATTTTTAGTTAACTTTATTTCCCAGAAAATGTAAGAGAGTCTTCGAAGTTCTAGAATGATGGCTGACATCAGAGTTGATTCATTTTAAGAGGAGTTCCGGTTTTTTCTCTTCATGTATATATGTTCTTAGGGTTTCCCCCTAGCAGAAACTGCTTTTTGAGGGCAGTAACTCTTATCACAGAGCCTGGTAGATAGCATTTGATAAAACCTTCTTTTCTTTCTTCTTTTCTCCTTCTTTTGTCTTTGTATCTCCAGGGCCCAGCACTTATGAGATACTTAATAAAAACTTATGAATGAATGGCTCTATTCAGTTCTGCCCTTCCCTGTGTAGCCATTCCCATTGATCTCAGCCACTCCTATTGCTGTGATTGGCTCCCGTAACCTTCCTGCCTCTGTTAACAGTGTGACCAATAGCAGAGCTAGTTCCACAAAGCAAGGTGAAAAGTGAGGGGTAGGGTGGGGTGGGAGAATAGTTTTGGGTCTGGAGGCAAAGGTTCCAAAGTGAATGAAGGAGGGATGTGGGGGCTGGCCGGGGAAGCCAAGCCCCAGACCTGAAATTCCAGTGCCATCACCCTTCTTATGAAGGTCAGTTTGGTAGAATGGAAAGAGCACCTGGATTTGGGGTCAGAAGACTTGGGTTCCAATTCCAGCTCTTTTATTATGGCCCACTGCCCAGATGGAACTGCCTCAGGTTGGCAGATCTGCAATGGAAAACAATAACGAAACCAAACACAAGAGCTCTAAGAAAACAAAGCTCAAAGAATGACCATCCGTAGGCTTAGCAGAAGGCAGAACATATTCAATTTTTCAATAATGGAAGATTTTATTTGTGTTCTTACCAAATGCATATATAAATAGTGGTTTCTTATTTGTAAACTGTGCTACATGGAGTAAGCAGCTTTGGCTTTTTAATTTGTGTAAACCAGCTCCTCTGGTTTATTTCTTCCTCCAATAGGAATGCAAACATTCAGAGAGATCAGTCTGAAATTGTCCTTACGAAGAAAACCACAGCATACTTCTTTTGTTGAAGGCTGCCTATGGAAGCCAGGAGCCTATCAATTTGGAAGGAATGGCTGTGTGTGTGTTTATACATGTGCGTGCATGTATGTATGTGTAGATATGTACATGTGCCAGAAATCAGTCTCTACTGTTTACATGAATTAAAAGACTTTTATCAGTTCCTTCCTCTCAAAAATAAAACTTCAACTAGGGAAGACTGAGGCTACCCAGTCAGATGTCACCTAATACTAAGGAACTTGGTAACTTTGACCAAGGGCCATCCTGCTCACTGGCTTGAGAATAGAATAGAAAATCATCAGCCTGGCCTTGAAAGCACCCAAAATCTGATTGTGGCTGTTATGGCTGGCCTTTCTTCACATCACCCTCTTCATTCCAATCTAACCGAAACACCAGCTATTCCCCCCACACACTGTCTCATCTCCAGCTTCCAGGCCTTTCCCAAGCAGTCTCCCATGTCTGCAATGCATTCCCCTCTCACTTCTGCCCTGTAGAATCTCTAGCTTCCTTCAAGGCAAAGTTCACAAGCCCCCTCCCACCAAAGGCCTCCCCCCTGCCCCCACTCAGTGATCTCTCTCTTTCTCCTCTTTCTCTGAATCCCTTCATACAAATTTGCATATACTTTGTATTTGATTCTCTGTGGGCTCCCGGTATTTCTACAATAAGATGCAGGTTCCTTAAGGGCAGGGGCTATCCCCATTTTTGTTTTCGTACCTACAGTACCCAGACCAGTGCCTTGTCCATAGGAAGTGTTTCATACGTGACTGTTTAAGTGAACAGAAATAAAAACATCTGATTCTTCTTTTCACCTTTTTATCCCTCTTAAAATTAATGTGCTGCAGATGAGCAAGGGGTGTGGCTAGTTCAGCGTCCTCTGCCTAAGCCTTAAAGAAATGTCTTTTTAATTGAAATGGACTGGATAGAGCTGATCTTAAACCGAGGCTATCAAGGCTCTCCAAGCAAATCCTGACTTAAGCTTTTCTCAAGATAAACACGTGTCTGGCTTCCTTCACGTCTCACCTCAAGTCCCACATTCTGCAGTCCCTCTCAAGGCCAGTGCCTTCCCTCTGGTCAGTAGTGCCCACTTAGCTTGCCTATAGCTTGTTCCAACAGATTCTTTTCGTATTGTCTCCCCTGAACCAGACTGTGATCTTCTGGAGGGCAGGGACCATCTTTTACCTTTCTTTGTGTCCCCGGCACGTAGGAGGGACTTAATGCTAGTTGGCTGACAATAGACTTAGTACTAGTTTATTCACTGTGGGATGCTGTACCATGGAAAACGTATCTTAAGTAGGAAAAAAGGGCTCACCTACTAAGGATTCAGAACATTTTTAGAGAAGGTTGGCTTGCCTAGTCAAGGAGGTCCTTTAATATAAATATTATCAGATATTTATTTTATTTACTGTATTGCAAATTCTATCTAAATAAAATTATTAAATAGTAAAATATATGAGGGATAACTGATTTTTTAGAAGCTCTCCACTTTAAGTAGATGACAGAGTTTCTTCTCTACACACCAGTCACTACTTCTTTGTGAGTGGGGCCTGTTCTTTGCCTTTTGATCTTAGGGTTTTGAATAGTACCTTACTGGTTGCTTAATAAATCCTTGCTGAGTGACTGACAGAAGAAAGGTTACTAAATTTTTCAGTTTACTTCTCATGTCAATGGCATTTGAAAGATGGGTCTCTTAAGGGGCTGGACACACTATTGGGACATACAAGATGTTCCATGTGATCTTAAGGATGCTGCCTGTGGTGAAAAGCTGAAGAGTCTGAAGTCTTCCCAGATGCCCTTGTGACTGTGGATTTAAAATGTAGATGGAGAACCCTCCCCCCCTCCCCCTTTTCCCTTCTGAGGCTTCACTTTACTTTTTACAGCCACTGGGATAAATGCCTTAACTCCACCACTGCAAAAGGCCAGAGGTTGTATTGCATTCTTGTAAGTATCCCCAGCACACAAATATGTACCTAATAATTTTCTGTTGAATGACTGAATCCCTACAGTGAAGTATAGGGTATTTTCATTTTGCCTAAGGAAACTTAGCAATTGGAAGAGCATCGATTTGGGAATTAGAGGTCCTGGGTTGGATGACCTGTGTGACTGTGGACAAGCCATTTGTTTTCCTAGGTCTCAGTTTCCTTATCTGTAAAACGAGAGCATTAGGCTAGATCCCAGAGCTAGAGCTGGAAGGGACTTTTGAGGCTCTCTAGCAAAACTGTCCCATTTTGCAGATGAAGAAACTGAGGTCCAGAGTTGTCCAGAGCCACGCAGTTGTATGTAAGATAAGATTTAAACTGAAGTCCTAACTTTAAATCCGGCAACAGTGCTGTACTGCTATTGGACAGTACACTGTAGCTTTAAACCTCTGATGCTATAACATTAACCCAACATAAATATAGGTTAAAGGGATGAATTCAGTGAGGGCATCAAAGCCTCCACAGAGGAATGCCCATTCCAAATAGGGCATTTGCTGTAGATTAAATACAAGAAAGGTCAGAGCCAAATTATCTGGGGCAAAGAAAAGTCTTCACCAAGAAAACAATATCCAGTGTGTCTCCTCAGATAGAACGCAACCTCACTGAGGGCAGGGATGGTCTCTGTTTGTCTTTGTATCTCTAACACTTAGAACAGTACCTGGACAAGGCAGATGTCTAAGAAATCTTTGTTGATTGGTTGATGGCCTGGCTTATAATAAAGTAAATAGAGAAAAGTTACTGACAGATAAGAAGGTAACACCAATTAAATTGGATGGGTTAGTCTAAGACACATGCAGCCTGTGGGAAAGTCAAGAGGAAGATATGCTCAGATATCTTCTAATGACTGATCTTACTCTGAAACTCCAACTGTGATTTTTTAATCTTTAAATGTACAAGTAAAGCTTACAAGCAAACAACCAATTAATTTCAGAAAGATTGTACCTGAAAATTAAATTTTTTCTTCCCATCAAAAACCATCCAGACTTACTGGTCAGGTCAGCTGACTAAAGAGTTAATTACCAGAAGACAGAAAAATTCTGGGGTATTCATGCATAACACTAATTCTTGTGTCACTGGAGGATGTTAATACATTCTTGTGAAATACTCATTACTCAGATGTCAATGCAATGAACTGATAGATATGATACTTGGCACATTTTCTAGACCAAGAATTAGCCTGTGTTGGAAATGACTGACATCCAGGAGTGTGCACCCAGAGATATGATTCACTGGAGTCTGTGTAATTCATACCTTGCCCTGAACTCAGGAGCTAATTCACATATGCAACACCTCTGGTTTCAAAGTATCTCCCACAGGGGAAGGGAGGGAAGAGTACAGAGTCTTCAGATAGTAAGTCTCTCCACTAAAACCCTTCCTATTCCACTGTACATGGGAGTGCGTTGGCCTCGGCGCTGCTTTTCCAATGCTTGGCCAAGGAGCAGATATCACTGCAGAGGAAGGGATCCCCCCAGACAGCCCCATTTTAGTTACATACAGGCTGATTCCTTTCTCTTTTAACAAACGCAAGTGATCCATTATATAAATTATACTCTGCTTTTCATTACATGCCTGAGTCAGCTACTAATGATTCCCTAGGACACTTGACTCTATATTTTACAGATCACCATTAAGAGAAGTCATTATTCCTTAGGTCCTATCTCATTACATTTCCTGGCTCTATCTTCTGTTTGTTTGGGTCAATTCCATGTAGAAGAACAGCTGAACTGCCCACGCTTCAGACTTCAGCCAAAGAGTGGAGATGAATTACAGAAGAATGGGCCCTTACCATGCTTGTGGACTTAATGTAGACATTGTCTTTTAGGTGGCATTTTCCATCATTTGGCACCACGATCCCTGCAAGTTTGCTATCAAGGGCAAGGTGAGAAGTCTGATCTGTCATCACAAGAAGCAATCTTTTAGCTTCCTTGCGCCAACCAATATGACTCTAAAGTAAAAATAAACATGCAATCAGACCTGATGAAACCACTTAGGATCTGTACCATGTACCTTAGCTTTGCATATACCTAATTGATGATGCTGGGTCAGAAGAACTACTGAGTGGGTGATGGGATCAAAAACCATTGCTACTTCATCCTAGCATTTATATTTCATTTTATATTTCCTTTTCAAATCTTTGTTTATTTTATAATGAATTCAGTAATTTGGTTTCATGGTGAAAAATGGCTGGGTTCTCTTTAATATTATAAATTTCTTTTAAAAAAATATATGCACAGGGGTTATACTAGATGGTTGCTGAGGTCCCTTTGAGTGTTAACAATGTGATACCATGATCCTCAGCAGGAATTCAAGATTATAACAACTAGTACCAATATACTAGAGTTGTTGGGCATATCAAATTTGAGAGTGTATTTAAAGTCCTATCAAAATATCAGTATCATTGTCTGTCTTTTGGGTGAATTCAGAGATATTACCAAAGAGGACAACTTTAATTTTCTTGGAAGGTTATCTAAACTGTACAACTTCACTTTCATCTGAAGATAATGCCATTTTTTTGGAAAAGATGCTCCAACAGTGGAATTCTGTTTTTCTTTTCTAGGGCCTTCTTACATTGAGAAAGGAAATCAATGTAATTTCCTTCCCCATTATCCCAATTAAGTAAATACGCCTTTCTCAGAAAGTCTTGATGTTGAAAAATAAAGCTTGCCCACTCAAGATTGTATTTTGAATAATACTTTGGAAGATGAAAACAATATACACATCCATGGGGATTGAGGTCCTAATCCCATGTTGTCTGTGGAGACCAGTAGAAGAGAAGAACCTTGAGAGCAGAAAATCATTTTCTTTTTTGTCACTGTATCCCCAACACCAAACATAGAACCTAATGCAAAGTGGGCAATTAACAAATACTTATTGATAATTGATTGTTACTGATGTAGAATTGGAAAGTCTATTCTTGAGTTCTGGTTCCAACCATTTCTACTGTATAACCATGAATGACTAACTCATTCAATTTCTTGAATCTCATTTTTTTCTCATCCATAAAATGGGGACCATAACCTTTGTAAAACCAGTAACACAGTGTTACTGTGAGGAGAGTGGTTTTAAAGAGTGATTAAAATAATGTATGACACTACGTAAAGGTGAGTCACTTTCAATGACTCTTAAAAAGTCACACTTGGCAACCTATGGCAACCTATGGCAATCATCCTGTAAGGCAAGTGAGCAAATACCTGCATGAGTTAGGAGCCCCAAGTTCTTGAGCCCTGGATGAAATCTAATAAGCAAAAACCAAATGACTATTTGTTGGTAATATTGGAGAAAGTTTTTTTTTTCAGTTATGGAATAGATTAAATAGTTTTTGGGTCCCTCCTAAGGGAATTTCTGTGATTCTCATCTCTCTAGACGGAGCAATTTTTCTTAAATCCATTTAAAAAAGATCCTTCTGAAGATTCCAGAATTCCCACCTCTGGCAAAAAGCCCTTGGGAGACTATCTATGAGTTAAGTAGCCCATGTACAAAGCCATTCTATTCTGTCTTAATTCTTCTTCCTGCACCTTTCTTCCCTCTTGCCTAAATAACCTAACCTACATCCCAAACAGAAAGTACTGAGTTGCTTATGGGAAGCAGGGTAAGCTCATGGGATTAGGATTCAGAAAACCAGGATTTGGTACCTACTGTCATAATTTACTCCCTATACAATGTGGGGCCTGAGCTCCCCCATGGATATGTATTAGGGGACCGATCAATGAGGCCAGTCCTCAGAGCATGCACAACATTCCTTGCTGGTTCCAAACCAACCAGTGAACTTGGGGAAGTCACTTGCTGGCCATGAGTGACTGAGGGGTTGGTGCTGTGTAGTGATGATGGGTTTTCTAATTCATTTCAGGAGCTCAAAGGACAAATGAGAGACCCAGAACTGAGTTACAATACAAAAGGAGCTCTGTATCACTCCCTAGCATCTTTTTTGTCTTTAACTTTCCCCTGACATCTTTCAGGTGAAGCCTGGCTGTGGTCCACCAGGTGAGAAGGGCAGCTTTGGCTGTGCCTTCACTTCTCATCTGGCTGCCATGAGTCCCTGAGTGCACAGTGCTAGTTTCGGGGGTCTTTAGTCTTTCCTGATCTTAGACAGCAGGACGTCCAGAGACAAGGGTATGACCCTGTAAGCTTCAGAAGTTCAGAAGGAACATCAGAGGTCCAGGAACTGGAGTCAGTGGCAGAGCCTGCTATACCCACAATGGCCAAGCCCAGTGGGGAGTCCTGAGGAGGGATCTGACACCTGAATCAAGCAGTGAATCAAGCTGACACCTGAAAAACTGTCCTGCAAATCAGGGAGCCACTTGTCCATTAGCTAGGACACAGCCAGAAGTGAACATGGTGGGGCCTCCACCAGGAGCTGAAAGGAGCTCCAAGGCTAACCCTCGGCTACATGGGTTCTCAACTTGTGTGTTCCAAGATGTTTGTTACAGGTTTGAGTCTACTCCTCCCAGGGGCTTTTTGTATGTGTAGGAAGGAGAAGGTGGCCCACATGGGACAAACTTAGGAGTTGAAATCCACTCTCTTCAGGGACTTGTGTGTACCCTGCTCTGGTTTGGTGAGGAATATCTTTGTGGTTCTGCTCTCAGAATGGTGAAGCACAAAGGGGCCAGATCAGGAGACAGAGAACTTGGGCTTGAATCCAAGCTCTGTTCCTTATGACCTATGTGACCTTGGGCGACTGCCCCAAGCTTTGAGCTCTTTATCTGTAAAGGGAGGGGTGTGGATTTAATGACCTCTTGTGTCTCTCTCAGCAATAAGTCCAAGAAGCTATCTGTTGTTGTTGTTGTTCTTACAGTTGTTGTTCAGTGATTTCCATTGTGGGCTGCCTGACTTCAGACCTGGCACTGTATCCACTGCACCACCAGTAAATTTATTTGTATCTGGTTGATTAGCACTGGGGAGATATGTACTGGTGATTGATATCGTAGAACTCACTGGATGGGGGCTTGTGAGAAATCGCATTGGAAGCCCTTGGGTTTACCCTTAAAACTCTGAAAATAAAAAGTAGTCAGCCACTCTCTGGGGACTCAACATGAAAGTTGGCAGAGTGAGCTAAGGGGAGGGTGATCAAAGGGTACATGGAAGGGACTGAATTTGATATCAAAGCTCTCTTCCAACATACTGAGTGTAATTTTTTGATCCCAAATGCATTCCAATTAATTTTCATTTCACTAGAGTTGATCCAGTCTTTGAGTCTATCAAGACCTTATTAACTGTGAATTCACACTTTCTACTTTTGGCTAAATGAGAAAATAATCCTAAAATCAACCTGATCTTTAAGGATTCTGCCATCACTGATAATTCAAACATCCCTTTACCTGGCAAACAGCGGCCTGCAGCATGGCATCAAAACCTCCTTCAGGTGTATCGATATTCCCTGAGATTTTCTGTCTGTCAACTGCTCTTTCAAACTCCGTGATGTTTTCTGTCAGAGACAGCACGTGAATGTAGCCATGAGGTGGCATGCAATCTAAATTGTAATCACTGCATGGGGAGATAAAACATGAGGGTTAGTTTCTTCTCTGCTTTCAGGAAATTCCCTTTGAGTAACAACTACAGGGATGAAGTGGTAGGCAGCCCCAATTTTCCATTAACTGCAGCTTGAAAAAAGAAAATCTATATTGGAAAAGCCATGAATAGAATGGAAAACAATATTGTTGAATATTGCACTTCAGAAATAAACATCGAAGGGGAAAATACAGACAGATATTGAAATTCTATAAATTATAATAGCAATGACAATTTCTCTAGGCCAAATGATAATCACTCAGTTAAAACAACTTCATCTAGCCTGGCAAAGATTTCTTCAATACCAATGGGTACAGGATTTCCTTGGTATGGCTACTACCCCCATTGATGGGAGTCCTAGGCCCTGTTTACCCTAGGATAGGGTTTTCATGAGTAAGGATGTTTGTGTGTGTGTGTGTGTGTGTGTGTGTGTGTGTGTGTGTGTGTGTATGTGCAATCGATTTATAACAGGAATTCTTAACTTGGGGACTGTTAATTACATATATGTGTATGTAACTATATAATAATTATGTGATATGTAAATAGGTAATATATCTATATAGAAAGATAGATAATTATGTTTCAATATAATTTTATCCTTTATAAACCTACATTAAAAGTTATTCATTTAAAAACATTATTCTAAGAAGGAGTCCATAGGCTTCACTAGACTGCCAAAGCCAGAGGGCCATGTTGGATAGAGTGACAGGCCTGGAGTCAGGAAGATATCTTCCTGAGTTCAAATTTGGCCTCAGACACTTACTAGTCATGTGGCCTTGGATAAATCATTTAACCCTGTCTGCTGCAGTTTCCTCATCTATCAAATGAGCTGGAGAAAGAAATGGGAAACAATTCCAGTATTTTCACCAAGAAAATATCACATGGGCTCATGAAGAATTGGACACAATTGAAAAATGACTGAACAGCAACTTTTCTACAATTATATATGTGTATACAATCTTATTTCTCTTTATGTCTACAACACATATAGTACATACGTGTACATGTATATATACATATGTATGTGTGAACATATATAATATATTGATGCACATGTGCATGTGTACTTATGTAGTAATATGTAGATGGCTTGTGAACTCATGCATGTACAATATATGTGTGTATACATACATGTGTAATCTGTTATAGCCCCATATATACACATATAAATGTTTATGCACATATGCATGCATATATTCAAAATCCATCTATATAAATAAATATATATATATATACATATAAACAAATACATAGAAATTCATGTAACAATATGTATATGCGTATAATGCTTATATATCATATTATATATGGACATAATCATAGATCAGGGTTTCTTAAACATCTTTGGGTATCATGACCCTCTGATTTTGTCGGTTTGTTGAAGCCCATGGCTACCTTCTTAGAATAATGTTTTTAAACACATAAAATTTTTAAAAATAGATTTACAAAGGAAATAAATTATATTGAAATATTTATCAATCCATCTATGTATCCATCCATCCATCCATCCATCCATCTATCTGTTTACAGACTCCAGGTTAAGAACTCTTGTCATAAATAGATTCTATGCACTTGAGACAAATAGAGTTTAAGTGACTTGCTCAGCATCCCAGCACTAGGAAGAGAGGAAGGATTTGAACCCAGGTCTTCCTTCTTTCAAAGCCAGCCTTTAATCCCTGGTGTCTGTTTCTCTGTCTCTGTGTTCCTCCCTCAACCTCCCTTCCCCTCCCCTCTCTCTTCTTCCTCCCCTCTCCATCTGTCTGTCTCTCTCCCTCCTCTTCCACCCTCCCGCTCTCTCTCCCCCTTCTGCCTCTCTCCTTAGCCATGTTACTGCTGACCCTGAAAGTTAGTATACAAGAACAACTTTATCTACCAAGCATTCTAAATTTTTCATTCATAAATATTATACAAAACCCCAAACAGCAGCCAAAAAAGCAGCAACAGCAACACCACAAGCATCCTGTGGAGCACCTAAACCTCCCCCCCATCCACCTGCCTGGGCCATGCCCCACCTCCCAGCATCGTGTGCCTCAGCCATGCTCCGGGTACCTGCACTGGTTGTGGATTCTGCCAGGGTGGATGCTAATATAGGGAGACACTGTTTTATCAACGTAGGATCCAAATCCGAGTCGAAAGTCATGGGAAAAAGGTGCCATTTTCCGGGATAAGTCATTTCCAACAGAGTTTAGTTTTTCTATATTATTGTGCATGGAGGCTGAGACATCAACAAGATAATAAAGATCCACAGGGTATTTTTGTAAAGGGTGGACTTTCAGCAGAAAGCTAGCTTCAGCTCCTAATCAAAAGAAAAAAGAATATAGATGTTCAAGTAATCTTTTTTTTTGACATCTGATCATTTATTGGGGTAGACTGTCAAGAAGAGAGCATAAATTCTGAAATTTAAGTTATCTCCTATAGCTTCATGATTATTAAAAAAATAAATTATTATGTCACTTAAAGAAGCTGGTGAAAATCTCTCCAGTGTATTTGCCCAACTCCCCTGTCTTCACATTGGATTCTCAATAACTATGAAAAATATTGAATATGAACTCCCATTGGCATCCAGGAGATGATGGTATGTTAGGCATGTCCAGGTATGAAGGCAGAGTCAGCTTTCTGTAAAGCAGAAGCATGTGGCTGACTTGTAATGCCATTCCCAGGGTACCAGGCAGGCCTCTATACTCAAACACATCTTTACTGGCCTAGGCTCATGGTGTCATGGACAGCTCTCTCTTTTACATTCCTGAAACACAAGGTTGATCATGTTACTCTCCTCTTCAAAAATCATCAAGGGCTCCCTATTGCATTTAGGACCAATTAACTCCTCAGCTTGGCAGTTGAAGCCATTAGCAATCTGGCTCCCTCTACTTTTCCAAATTTCTGGAACATTACTTCCTTTCATAGACTGCAGACAAACTGGCTTACTTATTATTCCTTGAACTAAGGATTCCATCTTCTAGCCAGCATAAAGACTCAAATTCTACCATTAGAGAGTCTTTGTTTTGGGCTATGTAAACATACTCTGTTTATTCAATGAGTATTAAGTGCCTAAGAAGGGACAGTTAAGTGACACAATGGGTAGAGCACTAGGCCTAGAAGCAGGAAGAGCTGAGTTCAAATTTGGCCTCAGACATTTACTAGCTGTGTGACCCTTGGTTAGTCACTGAACCCCATTTGCCTTAGTTCCTTATCTTTAAAATGAGCTAGAAAAGGAAATGGCAAACCAATCTAATATCTTTGCCAGGAAAACCCCAAATAGGGCCATGAAGAATTGGATGTGATTGAAATGGCTGAACAACAACATCACTGACCTATGAATCACCAGTTTACCTGGTATAGGACATCCTTGTCTGTTCATTAAAGGAATCCCCTAATGACTTCTACAAGGTCGTGCTTCTCTCTTCTAATTATTGCACATATTTAAAAATCATAACAAAATTTAATTTTAAAAAATTGCATCATACTTTAGTGGAAGGAGCCCTGAATTTTGAGCCTGGGGACTTGGGTTGAAACCTTGGAACCATAACTTCAATGCTAACCCTAACCCTCTGACTGTAACCCTAATTCATCTTGCTACCCATGTGACTTTTGAAAAACCACTTTTGCTACCCATGCTTCAGTTTCCCAGATTCACAGACTGTTACAGGATTTGAGAGTTTGAAGGGACTTCAGTGGCTATCAAATCTTGAAAGGAAACCCTGATGTCACATCTTTGACAACTGAGTATCCAACCCCAACCTGAAGACCTTTAATGACAACAAGACCATCACCCCTGGAGGCAGACCACTCCATGTTTGGACAGCTCCAGTTATTAGGAAGTGTTTGCTGACAAAAAGCCTAAGATTGGCTACACCTGAAGCTGTCAAAACCTGCATTCAAATCTTCCCTCAGACTCTTGTTTGCTGTGTGATCCACACAGCAAGGTACATAAAGTCTTTGAGGCCTCACTTTCCTCAACTACAAAAGGAGAATAATAATAGGACCTACTTCAGAGGGCTGTTGTGAGGGTCAAATAGGATAACATAAATCATCTCTCTCTCTCCCTCTCCCTTTCCCCACCATCTCCTCCTCCTCCTCCTCCTTCTTCTTCTCTCTGTTGTTATTGTTGTTTTGACTTTGTACTCTCAAATCTCCAGGACTGTAAGTTGTAGAGAAGGGGTCAACCTGTACTGATATAAGGAATTTTCTCACCTGGGAATTCCATATAGCAATGAAACAACCAGTCCAATTCCCATCCCTATCCCTCATTTCTATTCATGGTTCCTGAAACAAAATAGGTGCTTAATAAATGCTTATCAATTGAATGATTGAAAACAATCATAAAGTTCCAGTAAACTTCTCTGATTTTTCTAATTTTGAAAACTACAAGTTTTGTGATATGTGTGGCATGATAGCACACCCAAGATGCCCTTTGAGTTCCCCTATGTTACATACACAAATAGCTAGTTGGGGCTATAGCATGAATGAATGGCTTGATCTAAATCATCAATGCTTCCTAGAAATGACTGCTAAGGTCCTCTTAGCTCTAAGGCTTCTATCCTTTGTCAAGTTAGCTCTGGCCCAAAGTGAAATGGGAAAGCTTCCTGGAGTCTTCAAGAAGATTCAGGATGACCCCTCATCAGGTATGCTTCTGAGGGGATGCCTGTTCACATCTGGATTGAAATTGATGACATTGAGACTGGTTCCTCCCAGCTCTGAGGCTCAGATCACTGAACATTTTACTTCCATTCAGTCATGATCCAGGAATTTCAACCAGATATTTAAATGAAAAATCTCATAATATAGCTCCCCCCTTTGTCTGTGTAAAACAATTAATTTCAGTTACTTTCAGAGCTGGGTTTTTCTGAGTCATTATATTGACTGAAGGGGGTTGAGAGATCAGATAGAAAGGTGTCTTCACTGACTTTTCTGGTGCCTTTAACAATCACAGGAAGAGCACAAAAAACTTGTTTCCTCTTCATAGAATGTGTTTCCAAGCTGCATGGACTTGATTCTTCTAATCAACATTTGGTTCTATTTCCAAAATCTAGATGAACTCCATTATATACTCTATTATATAATATATAATATAATATATCATACCATATACGTGTTATATATGCATGTGTCTATTTAACATATTATTCAATTCTCATGGATCTTGGTCAGGCTATTTTCCCTATTTCTTGAACTCTGAGTGACATTATTTTAACATTAGAATCCTAGCAAAATATAATCACTTCAACAGACATGTGTTAAATATCTCCTATGAACATGTTACTGTGCTTGGCAATGGTGGTACCATTTGGGAATTAGGGAAGAGGAATGGGCACAATTCCAAAATGTGACATTCAGATACAGAATGCTCACTCCAAAGATGTCCCTTTCTTTAGATAAAACCTTTGAGAGATACCAAGCTGAATCACAGAATCTCAGAGTCATAGGGATCCCCAAAGTGACCTCACCCAATCTCTCTACTTGGCTGAGAATTTTCACTACAATGGATCTGACAAGGGGTCCTCCACCTTGTCACAGAGTCCTAAGGGGAAGGGGGGCCACTGCCCTGTGAGGCAGATCATGTGGATTTTGGCTCAATTTTTGTGAGAGATCCTCTTAAAAGTCATGGCAGCCGATATAATAGCTGATACACATTTTCCACTGTTGGTGGAGTTCTTCATGTAAACAACAATTAAGTAATTAATTCTAAGTTTGAGTATAGGTGATCCATAACATTCTAAAAATATTCTAGCAGGAATAGATATAAAGTTGGAAGACTGGTAGAACTAAAGGGGAAAACCCACTGTCATCTATCCTTTACCCACTTTCTAATCTATTTCATTCCTTCTTATTTAAGGAATGTGGTTTCACAGGAAGAAAACATTGAGTCTGGAGGCAGAAGACCTAGATCTGAATCCCAGCTCTGCTACTTTTCTATTTATGGGGTCCTGGGCAAATCATTTAACTTTCCCTAGTGTCAGTTTCCTCAGCTGCAAAGAAAGGGGGTGGCATTAAGTTCTATGACCTCTAATGTAGACTAGTCTAAGATCTAACGCTAGCTTCATGATTTAGATACATAGATCACCTTCAAAACAACCACCAGAACAAGAATATTTAAGACACAGGCATGAAAGAATGTGAGATGGGGAAGCCAATGCAAGTCAGTATTCTCTAGGGATCAGAGACTGAATTTGAAGGATCAGTAGTATTAACCAGACTGCCCAAAGGAGCCATGATACACAAAAGGTGAAGAATTCCCCATCTAGTTGGGTGTTCTGGTGCCAGCCTCTAATGCCGGCTGCTGGGGAGGTTGAGGCTGATGGAATACTCAAGCTAGGGAGTTCTGAGCTGCAATAGGGACTTAAATTGGGTATCCAGAATAAATCCAGCACCAATATGGTAAGCCCCAGGGGGGGTAAAGGGCCACTAGACTGCCTAAAAGAGGAGTGAACCAGTCCAGGTTGAAAATAATAGAATTGAAATCTGGGCTGATCAGCAGTAATACTGGGCCAATGAGTAGAAGCTTCACTTCCAGCCTAGGTGAGAGGAAGACAATCAATCTAAAAAAAACAACAACACCCCAATCTATTCAAACATTATAGATGAAGGGACTGAGGCTTACATAGATAATTGGCTTGTCTAAGGTAACACATGTAGGGAAGGTGAGAAAAGGGAATGTGATGGCTCTGCTTTAATAACCATGAGAGTAGGGGTATGCCAAAGTCACATTTGACTAATGAAGGAAAGCAAAAGGGGACCAGGGTAGTGAAAGGTGTCAAGCTTAGGTCCCAGAAGGATCATTTGAAATAGTAAGGGATATTTAGCCAGGAAAAATGAAGACATGAGGGAGGCATGATAGCTGAAGGGCTGTCACTGGAAAAGGCACCAGGCATACTCCCTTTGGCCTCTGAAGGCAGAACTAAGAGCAATGGAAAGAAATGACCAAGGTTCAAGTTCAATTTTCATGGCAAGAAAAAGGCCAAGTACTAGCACTGAGCCAGAGCAGGTGGACTGCCTGTACCATGGAAGTAGCGGGCCTCTGGCCCTAGTGGTCTTTAGACAAAGTTGGATGACCATTTACTGGGTATGCTGTAGAGAGGCTTCTCAGTCATCCCTGGGGTCCCTTCCAAAACCGACATCATCCAGATTTTAGGATAATTGATTTTGACCACAGCAGGACCATCCACAGAAGCTCATGCAACCTCTTCTTCTATAGTTGAGGAAACTGAGAACGAGACAGGTGAAGTGACTTATCCAAGTGGTACATGACAGGATTTGAACCCAGGTCCCCTGATGCCATATAGCATGTGTTTTGTAATG